TTATTAAAATACTACTTTCTATATACTTATATATACAGTATCTAAAATAAATTGAATTCAATTTTACTTTAGAGAAAAGGTTATAAAACTGAACCCTCACACAAACCTTTTTTTTATCTTCTTTTACAGTTTTTCACTCGTCCCTCACTCATCAATATGATGAACCTTTAAAAAACTTTTACATTCTATTTTTCTTACTACTCTCTTTCTCAAATTAGACAATTTCCCCCCGACCTTGAAACACATTACTCGAGACCTAATTAACCATATAAGACCTCACGTCAAGAATTTTTTATTGAGCATAACCAAAAAGTTTTTCTTTTTTCAAGATTATGGTGTATAAAATAAATTTCCCCCTATTCAGGAAAAGAAGGAACAAAAAGAAACTTTTATATAGAAAATCAATCAAACTTTTCTAAATAGTATCTACACCAACAAGATTTTTATTTAGTTATTATTTTAATTAATTTTTAATATTTAATAGATAAAATAAATAGGTATATATTTTTTCTTTCACTTTAGAGATGAATATAAATATAAATATCCCAAGAATATAATTTTACATGAAAATCAATTGTTTATTAACAATTGAATTTTTTAAAACCAATTAACTTTAGAAACTGCGACAAAATTAAATTCTCTGCTGACTGACGACTTAATTTTTTCATAATTTCTAAATTAAATTACATTCACCAGTAGAATATTTTTTTTTAAATAAATATTTAAATACCAATTTATTTTTCCACATGATTTAATACATTTTAAATGATTTCAATGTAAAGGCATTTTGAAATTAAACTATTTCTAAAAATTACAACTGTAATTATCAAAATTTAATCATTTTTTTAATGAAATGTTAAACTAAAATTATTCAAAACTTTAATGATTTTATTTAAAAATATTTATCTAACATTTTAACTGAAATTCAATTTTAAATCAATTTTTTTCAGAAAATTCTACTTTGAATTCAATTATTTAAATAGAAAATAAATAACTGATTGAATAATTAATCATTTTGAAAAATTGAATTCTTATATAAAGAACTTTGTTAAAAATTTTTAAAGTCATTTTTTAATTATATAGAAAAAGATTGAATTTTTCTGTAAAATTTTCCAACTCATTAAAATAATTAAATTACTGTGACGAATTTTATAAAAAATTTTTTGAAAATAATTGAATTATTAGGAAGAGTTTCATTAAAAATTTTTTTTAATAATTAAATTCTTTCAAGAAATTGAATTAAAAATATATTAAAAATATAATTTATTGAATTCTAATAAACAAATTATATTAAAATTTTTTAAGAATAATTGCGTTTTTCGAGGAATTCATTTAAATAATTAAAAATAATTGAAATCCTGCAATGAATTTTACTAGTTATGGAAATGATTGAATTTTTGCAATGAATTTTATAAAAATTCAAATAATAATTGAATTCCTTAAAAGAATTTTATTATTTATAAAAATAATTGAATTCTTGTGACAAATTTTATTAAAATTTTTTAAGAATAATTGCATTTTTTAAGGATTTCATTTAAAATATGAAAGATAATTAAACTACTGCGATGAGTTTTATATTAGTTTTCAAAATAATTTAATTTTGGCTACGAATTTTTAAAATATTTCAAAATAATTGAATTCCTGAGAAGAATTGTATTATTTATAAAAATAATTGAATTCTTACGAACAATTTTATAAAAATCTTTTTAAATAATTGATTTTTTGTTTTAAATTTTATGAAAAATGTATGTACTTTAAATAATTGAAATCTTGTGGAAATTTTATTATTTATGACAATAATTGAATGTTTGCAAACAATTTTAGAAAATTTTTTTTAAATAATTGAATTAATTTGAGAAATTTTTTATTAAAATAGTAGATATTGAAAATAATTGAATTTCGAAACATTCCTAAAAATAATTAAATCGCTTGAAAGAATTTTATTAAAATTTTTTGAAATGTTTCTAAAAATTTTATTTAAATTTTTGAAAATAATTTTTTTATATAAGCGAATTTAAAGTATTTCAAATTCTCAAACATAGAAAAAAGTAATTATTCAAAATTTTAAATAATACCTAATAATATTACAAGAATATTATAATAATTATAGAAATTATAACTATATTTATAATAATTATAATAATCGCAATAATAATAATTATTACTATTATTATTATTATTATTATAGTGATAGTAACAAATTTATACAAATTTAATGCAAAGACAGGGTTGGCAATAAATTTTAATATTTACTAAACAATCAAGTAGAGAACGATTGCAATTAACGAAAATAACGAGGTATAAATTTTTCCTCATCATAAAATATTTTCAAATGACAGTTGTTACACGCAACTTGGCACATCATAAAAAACTAACGAGAAAACAAAACAAGGGACACCACCTCTCCCTCTTTTTCTCTTTCTCTCTCAACAATTTTATCACACATAAAATATTGATTTAAATATGCAGATTAAATCAAGACCAATGTGCATTTTGTTGAAATTTATATGTATTGTACACGCCATATGAAAAACAAGAATAAATGTATATTTTAAGTCAATTATTTTTCTGTACACTCTAGCGAAATTATAACCGTGATTCTCTATTCCACAATGCACGTGTAAATTCTAAATAATTCCAAAAATGAAAATACTGAACAACATTGTATTAATAAAAAGATTTTTTTACAAAATAATGAACTCAAATTGAAAAGTAATAAAAAAAACAAAAAATAACTTTTTATTCAAAAGCTAATTGGAACAAAACATAAAAAAGTTTATAAAAAATCATATTTTCAACTAACATGAAAAATTTCGCATTTTAATTATATTTTTAGATTTAATATAAAATTGGATCTGCAGTAGGTACATTTATGAAGTCTGCTATACAATATGAATAATTAATAAATGTATTAAAAAATCCAATTAGGAAAATTTATTTTCAATTTTTCGTTTTTACAAAATTGATATATAGAAATAATTGGAAAATAAATACCTAACTCCAAGCTTTTACTCCACTAACGAAAAATACGATTAAATAAATAAATAATAAATACAATACGATATAAATAAAAAATACAATCAAAAATCTACATCACTAGGCAATCGAAACAATTTCATACCTTATATGTAATCGTTGGCCTGCATTCGCGTTGAATATTTCTGCCACCGTAGCACAACACACTGAATTAAAAAAAAAAATTTCCAACACTCTCCGATAAATTTAAAAACTTTTTATTTAAATGAAAAAAATTTTATTATCAAAACACATGGAACAATGTCCAAAAAAATTAATCGTGATAAAAAACAAAAAAATCCGTACACTCCCCATGGTTATTTTAGTTTTAAAATTGATATAGAAATACTGATAAATTAAAATGAATGTATTATTTTCAACGTATAACAGATAAATAATATTTCCAAAGATCGATCAATCTTGCGAAAATTTTTACACAAGCACAATGTTAATTTTGACTATATAAATGAACACGTTTAAACAGGCTGAATTCCAAATTACGACTGATGAGTTTGGAATAAATTTTCTCTGATTTAAATATAGGCAACCACCCTTTGTTCGTTCCTCAAATGTAAACAAAGCTTGGGATGTACGACAACTATCTGAATTCAAGTCCTTTGTATTAATACAAAATACATTAATTCTTCTAAGACCTCTATTCAATAACAGAATTTATTTACTTTTTCCATTTATGAATAAGAGAATAAAATTTTTATTTAATTTATATTATTTTATAAAAATAATATACTTATTTTTGACTCAAATAAAATTCATTTTTAACAATAAAGAATTTACTTGAACAAAAATTTAATATTTAAAATAATATTCTAATTTTAAAAAAATTATGTGTAAAGAAATTATCTAAATATTTAATTTATATAAAAAATTGTAATATTTGAAAATCATATTTAAAATAAATACCTATTTCAAATAAAAGCTTTATTTATTTTTTGTTAAAGTTTTTAATACGTATTAATTAATACGTAATTTTTAAATACGTATTTCAAATGAAAGCTTTATTTATTTTTTGTTAAAGTTTTTTTAAATAAAAAAAAATTATTAGAAACCAATTCTCTAAAGTTTTTACCGTTCAAAATGTATATCGATATATTTTTAATTAATTTATTTTATTGAAAAATATTATTTTCGTATATAAAAAATTAATTCTTAACTAAGTAAGTGTTGTATTTTGATTATATTTCAATTCAGTAGGTATGGTAATTATTAAATAGAAACAGAAAAAAAATTTTGTTCATTTGAACGTTTAGAATTTTTAGTGATATTAGAAAGAAATCAAAATTGAAAACAAATAAAATTTGTTTAGATAACAAATACAATTCATTGAAAGCAAATAAAATTTGTTAGAACAAATAAAATTCATTGAAAACAGATACTATTTATTTAAAATAAGCAAAATTTATTTGTAACAAATACTATTTATTTGGAACAAGCAAAATTTATTGGTAACAAATAAATTTTATTTGGAACCAATATAACTAATTGAAAATAAATAAAATTTATTTGTAACAAATGAATTTTATACGATAGAAATTAATTAATTTTACTTGAAACAAATAATATTCATTGGAAACGAACAAATAAAATTTATTTGAAACTAATAAAATTTCATATGTTACAAATCAAATTAATTGGAAACAAATAAAATTTATTTGTAAAAAATAAAATTTATTTACATTTAAAGTAAAATAAATTATTTAAAACATATATTTAATTAACTTTAACACAAATATATTTTTCCACTCTTCGTAATTTAGAAATTTCATTAAAAATACTTTTGTAAAAGTATTCTTCCAAAGTATGCTTTTCAAATCTTTGTTGTTTAATTTAATACCTAATATTATTCAATTTGATAAAAATTTAAATTTAAAAATTTTGCATTTAAAAGTAATTAAGAAAAATTAAATAAAACTTTATCAATGTTTACAAAAAGTAATTATAAATTTCTTGCAAAACTTTTGTTGCAGATTTCGAGAAATTCTGGAATTGTTTCACATTTTGTCAATTTAAATATAGTGGTACCGGAAGCAACAATCCTAGGAAGTGGTGAGCACCACGTCGACGTAGGATCTATTATAAATCTCGTATGCGTAATAGACAAGGTAAACAAAGAATTATATTTCTTCTATTCATTTTTAATTTTTTGAAATAAATGCAAAAATTTAGTAAAAAATACACAACGCAGTAAATAATATTTTTTTTAATTTAATTGTTATTAAAATTTTTAATTTTTTGAAAGAAAAAAAAAATTTAGTAAAAAAATATAAAAATAAATATATTTCTATTATTTTATTATTATTAAAAATTTTTAATATTTCAAAAGAAAAAGAAAAAGTTTAGTAAAAAAAATATACAAAATAAAAAATAATATTTTTTCTATTTCATTGTTTTTTTGTATTTATTTATTTTTTTTTTGTATTTATTTTTAATTTTTTGAAAAAAAGCAAAAATTTAATAAAAAATGCTTAATTAGTAAGATTTACTAAAAAATTAATTTCTAATATCCTACAGAAAAGTACTATTGTTTCTGTATTACAAAGTTTCATCGGAATGTAGAAGACAAATTTTTAACTTATTTGAAAAAAGACAGAGCAAATTCCATAATATAAAATTTACTAACAAAGATAAATCTACTTACGGTAGAGAAGATTTAATTACAGTTTAACATTTTAGAAAGGAACTCACCTGAAACAAACAAAAATATTTTCATTAGTACAGAAAAATGTTAAAGTTTATAATAAAAAACTGTATATATTAAAAAAGTTCATAACCTTAATAAGAATAGTTTAATAAAAGATAAATGTTTTTAATAATTATAATAATGAAAAAAAAATTTTTAATTAAAATACTTTTATTATTTTATATTGTATATAATATCAACAGCAATAAAATACAACTAATAAATAATAAAATAAGTAAAATATATTTTATTAAAAAATAATTATTTTGTTATAAATAAAATAAATAAATTAGTATGTATTCTAAAGATAAAAAAACCCGGTTCATTAAAAGAACCAATTTAAAAAATCACAATGCATTATTTATCAATAAATATTTCTTTACTGTGCATTTAATTTACATTTACAATGGTTGTTAGTCTAAACAAAAAATAAAAGTAAAATAAACTCGTAAACATAACTCTCGTAAAAATAAGTATAGAATGTAACACGCAATTTTTAAATTTTTAACAAGTACACAAAAGTAGAACGAGCCAAATTTATTTAACATTCCTGCACGTAAAGATTCACTTTAATATGGATTTTCTTTTTTCCCTCCCCCCCCCCCCAAAAAAAAGTTAAAATAAGCAATATTTGCATTATTAGAAAAAAATATTCCACTTCTTATACATCAATAATTTTATTTTCATAAGAGAAAAGTCATTTGCATTCAAACTTCAAATAGAGATATTTTCACTCAATTAAATTAAATCTCGAGGAAAAATTTGTTGCTGGAACCAATAAATGGATTTTGACAAAAAAACGTAAAACTGCGCACACGTTTTCCCTTCAACAACGAGATCGATTACATTCTCCGACAACTACAAGACGTGTGACTTTTCTAAACGGAAGAAAAACCGTTTGTTACCGTCCATTTTTCAATCTGAACTCACAATTGTGTAAGCCAAAGATATATCTATTTCAATTCTCGCACTTGAATTGGAAAAAAAAATCTAATTCAAATAGCATTGACTTTTTTTCCCTTTAGAAAATTTTATATCGAAACAAAATATTTACGTATTTTTAAAGTGTAAATATTTGCGTCTGTTATTTTCACCCATAAATATTTAATATCTCCCATATTTTTTCTGCATGGAAAAACTAACTGAAAAAAGTGATTTAAAAAAAATTATTAAAGTCTCAAATAAGAGAAAATACGATCGCAGATATAAAAACATTACTTTAGAAACTGATCAGTGAAATAAAAGACTATCTAAATCTTTTGTGTTCTAAACTCCTGTTTGCAAAGTTGGTTTTAAAGGAGAGATTTTGGTTGGAAATTGAGATTTCTTATAATGTTGAATTCTTCAGTAAATAATTCACATTTATTGAGTTTACTACTATTTGCGACCTAAGTTTACTTTACTAAGTTTAATGGAATTACCGATGGATATCTATACGAGCTCATTCAAACCAAAATCATTGTTGAATTTGTCAAAATGAGATCTCGCAGAGAGTGCATTGTTGTTGATCCAACTTTTTCTCTCTATGCACTTGAAAAGTTTGTCAATTACTTTTCTATTTATTCAAAAACACGTGCAATTGCAAATTTATTAAATGTGTCAATTTATGCGTAATTTAATTATTCATCATTACAAAATTTTACTAAAACTGTATTTTTTTTTAACAAAAAAAACGTAAAAATTTGTTTTCTCGTAATTGTATTGGTACAGTGCTCTTATTTTTAATTCAGTAACTTTTGACTAATTATAATTTTCCATTAAATTTATATCAAAAGTCGAGTAAAACTTAAATAAATATATACAAGAACAATAATAAAAATATACAATACAAAATATTATTTATAATTAAGCCAGGGCTCGAACTAGGTCCGTAAATCCCGTAAAAGTCCGTAACTTTGCTTAAAGTTCGTAAAAGTCCGTTTTTAAAAAAAAAAAGTTCGTAAAAAAAATTATTTTTAATTCAAAAAGGATGAAAAGTTCGTAAATTGGACGATATAATTTGAACAATTTAAAAAAAATTACCAATGATTGCACAAATTCAATTATTTTCAAAAGTAATAAAATTCATCGCAGAAATTCAATTATGTTTAAAATTTTTTTTAAATTCTTAACAAAATTCCAATTATCTTCATAAATAATTAAATTCTTCTCCGAAATTTAATTATTTTCAAAAATTTTTCTCAATTCAGTGATTTTCCATCTCTACTATTTTCATAAAATTTTCCAAAAGAATTCAATAATTTAAAAAAAAATTTAATAAAATTCTACACAAACTTTTAATTATTTTTAAATTTTTTAAAAATAATAAAAATTTCACAGAAATTTCATTATTTACCAATTTTTTTTATAAATTTCTTCAATCGCAATCATTCAATTTTATTCTCATAAATAATAAAATTTTTACGGGGATTCAATTATTTTCGTAAATAATAAAGTTCTTTTTAGGAGTTCAATTATTTTCATATAAATAATAAAACTCATTGCAGAATTTCAATTATTTTTTATCCAATTTTAATTGAATTCCTCAAAAAAATGTAATTATTCTTAAAAATTTTATTAAAATTCGTCAAAAGAATTCAGTTATTTAAAAATTTATAGATAAAATTCTTTATGAGAATTCAATTTTAAGAAACATGCAATTATTCAATAAATTGTTTTTTTCGTATTTAAATAATTGAATTCTAGTAGAATTTTCTCATAAAAATCGATTTAAAAATGGATTTCAGTTAAAATTTTAGATTATAATTGAATTTTAAAAGCATTAGGGCGTAAATTTTTAGAAATAATTGAATTTTGAAAAGGTGTAAAATTGCATTGTAAACAAATGAATTTGAAAATTCTTAAAAAAATTTTTCAAAAATTATTAAAAATAATTAATTTATAGAAGACGTTTAGTTAAAAACACGAAAAAAAATTAAATTGTACAAAAATTTGACTATTTTCAAGAGTAATAATATTCCTCCCAAAAATTAAATATTATTGTTAAAAAGTAATAAAATTCTTCTCAGGGATTCAATTATTTTCAGAAATAATAAAAGTTATTGCAGAATTTCAATTATTTTTAATACAATTTTAATCGAATTTCTCGAAAAATGTAATTATTATTCAAAATAAAAAATAAAAATAATAAAATTTTGTAAATAAAAAATTTAAATTTTATTAAAATTCGTTGATAGAATTCAATAATTTGAAATTTTGTTGATAAAGATTCTTTATGGGAATTGAAATTTAAGAAACAATCAATTATTTAATAAAATATTTATTTTTGTATTTAAATAATTGAATTCTAGTAGAAGTTTCTAATAAAAATTGATTTTCATTTCATATAAATGAAATTCAGTTAAAATTTTAAATTACAATTGAATATTAAAAGCAATCGAGCGTAAATTTTTAAAAATAATTGAGTTTTGAAATTAATTTTTTGGAAAAGTTTAATTGAATTTTTTTAATATTATTTTAAATTTTTATTTTCTAATATTTATTTAATTGAAGAATTTACGAATTTTAGTTAAAAATTTTTGTAAATAATAATTGAATTGTAAATGATTTTATCACTCGAACATCTTTAATTATTATAAAACATGAAGAAATCGCTCACTCCGAGTCGAAGACTCGGAGTTATCGATATTTTCATGTTTTATTGTTATGAAAAATTTAATTTATAGTTTTAAGTAAAATGTTCTCTTATTTGGCTTGGACTGGTTATATTTTTGTCAGTAATTGGTTCGTAATTTTTAATTTTTAGTCCGCAAAGTCCGTGATTTTAAATACTTTCACTGGTTCGAGCCCTGATTAACAAAAATATAATATTGTCTTATTATCCATTAAAAAAATTAAAAAAGCAAAAGTACAAAGAAAAAAAAAATTAAAAACAGAAAATAAAAAAAAATAATGAAAATAAAATAAATAAAATTACAAAATCCAGAGCGCTTAAAAAAACAATCACGATTTAAGTAGAGGAAATAATTTTTAGTCAGACAATTCCACTTAAAATAACAGCAGTAGCCATGAGACTAGATTTAAATAAAGCAGGAATTTTTTTCTCAAGAAGAAAAGAGTAAAATTAAAAATTAAAAAAGAATTATAAAAAATAAAAAATAATATTTCTAAAATGTTTCAATTCAAGTATTTAAAATTTAATAAAAACCCTACAAAGAAATAAAAAGAAGGAAAAATATTCACAAAGTGAAAGAACCCTTTTACACTTCATAAAGAAATTCACAGTTAAAAAAGTCATCATTTATATAAAAATTTCAATCAACTTTATCGAGTTTTATCATCAATCACTAACCGTAATTCTCTCTGATAAATTTCAAACCCTTTTTTATTTAAGGGGAAACCTTGTAAAAACAAAAAAAAAAATCTCTATATAGACCATTAGCGTCTAAGTGGATAAAGTTTGAAACAAATTGATATAAAACC